TCTCGTGTGATGAGAACGAATCTGATGATATTCTCCGTCGCATTCTCCAGCCCACAATCTTGATGTGATTTGATAAGTCCCGATAGTAGGGGAGGGCATGAAGTAGATCAGGGAAATTACGGGGTAAGACAGGCTGAAAGAGAGAGCAGAAATGTGTAAAACAAGCACAAAAACGCTTAAAATCGGCAAACGAAATTCTACGGGGATCGCCCCCATCTTTGAAAGTCTATATTTGGGGTCAAAGCTCTGAGGGAACCCTTGTATCTCTCAGACTTCCAAAAGCAATTGCAGCACAAAATCACGCAAGCAGACGTGACTAATCACACACACGCGCGCCCTCTAATACACAAAATTTCCATGAACATTACAAAGCTCAATGTCCCAATTAGTAAAATACCACAGGGTCGATCCATTCCACCATGGAAAGAATCACAATTGATCGTGCACCTTACGTGCCTACCACAAAAAAAACAGTGTACATAACTGCGTGTTAAAAAAAAAAAAAAAAAAAAAAAAAAAAAAAAAAAAAAAAAAAAAAAAAAAAAAAAAAAAAAAAAAAAAAAAAAAAAAAAAAAAAAAAAAAAAAAAAAAAAAAAAAAAAAAAAAAAAAAAAAAAAAAAAAAAAAAAAAAAAAAAAAAAAAAAAAAAAAAAAAAAAAAAAAAAAAAAAAAAAAAAAAAAAAAAAAAAAAAAAAAAAAAAAAAAAAAAAAAAAAAAAAAAAAAAAAAAAAAAAAAAAAAAAAAAAAAAAAAAAAAAAAAAAAAAAAAAAAAAAAAAAAAAAAAAAAAAAAAAAAAAAAAAAAAAAAAAAAAAAAAAAAAAAAAAAAAAAAAAAAAAAAAAAAAAAAAAAAAAAAAAAAAAAAAAAAAAAAAAAAAAAAAAAAAAAAAAAAAAAAAAAAAAAAAAAAAAAAAAAAAAAAAAAAAAAAAAAAAAAAAAAAAAAAAAAAAAAAAAAAAAAAAAAAAAAAAAAAAAAAAAAAAAAAAAAAAAAAAAAAAAAAAAAAAAAAAAAAAAAAAAAAAAAAAAAAAAAAAAAAAAAAAAAAAAAAAAAAAAAAAAAAAAAAAAAAAAAAAAAAAAAAAAAAAAAAAAAAAAAAAAAAAAAAAAAAAAAAAAAAAAAAAAAAAAAAAAAAAAAAAAAAAAAAAAAAAAAAAAAAAAAAAAAAAAAAAAAAAAAAAAAAAAAAAAAAAAAAAAAAAAAAAAAAAAAAAAAAAAAAAAAAAAAAAAAAAAAAAAAAAAAAAAAAAAAAAAAAAAAAAAAAAAAAAAAAAAAAAAAAAAAAAAAAAAAAAAAAAAAAAAAAAAAAAAAAAAAAAAAAAAAAAAAAAAAAAAAAAAAAAAAAAAAAAAAAAAAAAAAAAAAAAAAAAAAAAAAAAAAAAAAAAAAAAAAAAAAAAAAAAAAAAAAAAAAAAAAAAAAAAAAAAAAAAAAAAAAAAAAAAAAAAAAAAAAAAAAAAAAAAAAAAAAAAAAAAAAAAAAAAAAAAAAAAAAAAAAAAAAAAAAAAAAAAAAAAAAAAAAAAAAAAAAAAAAAAAAAAAAAAAAAAAAAAAAAAAAAAAAAAAAAAAAAAAAAAAAAAAAAAAAAAAAAAAAAAAAAAAAAAAAAAAAAAAAAAAAAAAAAAAAAAAAAAAAAAAAAAAAAAAAAAAAAAAAAAAAAAAAAAAAAAAAAAAAAAAAAAAAAAAAAAAAAAAAAAAAAAAAAAAAAAAAAAAAAAAAAAAAAAAAAAAAAAAAAAAAAAAAAAAAAAAAAAAAAAAAAAAAAAAAAAAAAAAAAAAAAAAAAAAAAAAAAAAAAAAAAAAAAAAAAAAAAAAAAAAAAAAAAAAAAAAAAAAAAAAAAAAAAAAAAAAAAAAAAAAAAAAAAAAAAAAAAAAAAAAAAAAAAAAAAAAAAAAAAAAAAAAAAAAAAAAAAAAAAAAAAAAAAAAAAAAAAAAAAAAAAAAAAAAAAAAAAAAAAAAAAAAAAAAAAAAAAAAAAAAAAAAAAAAAAAAAAAAAAAAAAAAAAAAAAAAAAAAAAAAAAAAAAAAAAAAAAAAAAAAAAAAAAAAAAAAAAAAAAAAAAAAAAAAAAAAAAAAAAAAAAAAAAAAAAAAAAAAAAAAAAAAAAAAAAAAAAAAAAAAAAAAAAAAAAAAAAAAAAAAAAAAAAAAAAAAAAAAAAAAAAAAAAAAAAAAAAAAAAAAAAAAAAAAAAAAAAAAAAAAAAAAAAAAAAAAAAAAAAAAAAAAAAAAAAAAAAAAAAAAAAAAAAAAAAAAAAAAAAAAAAAAAAAAAAAAAAAAAAAAAAAAAAAAAAACTTAGTAACCCTTGTATCTCTCAGACTTCCAAAAAACAATTGCAGCACAAAATCACGCAAGCAGACGTGGACTAATCACACACACGCGCGCCCTCTAATACACAAAATTTCCATGAACATTACAAAGCTCAATGTCCCAATTAGTAAAATACCACAGGGTCGATCCATTCCACCATGGAAAGAATCACAATTGATCGTGCACCTTACGTGCCTACCACAAAAAAACAGTGTACATAACTGCGTGTTAAAACAAATTGCATTAGCAACGATAAAGGAACACACAGAGTCTATGGGCGATGATGTATACGAGTGTTACATTGACGGATCCGTACAGTCTGGATACAAAGCTGGTTGTGCTTGTACTGTATACAAAAATGGCTCACTACAACATCAAGTTAATATGAGAGTGCACAATTGGGCCAGCACTACACAAACGGAGCTGGCAGGTATACTCCTTGCAACGGAATTCTTAATGTCTCGGGGCTCTGGAGTAGTTTTGTGTGACTCTCAGAGTGCTCTTCAGACACTAAATTCTTTCAAAGCAGGTGGCGATGAGGAAATTGTAAGTTGCATTAAGCGTAACGTAACTTGTGCAATAGAGCGCAATTTCAACATTCAATTTTTATGGCTACCATCTCATGTCGGCATAAGCAAGCACGACCACGTAGACAAATTGGCGAAGGAAGCCTGCAGCAAAGACACTGTGAACATAGATCTTGGGATGCCTCTTGCTAGGGTTGCACATATATTGAAAAGTTCTCACAAGGAAGAACTAGTAGATCTGACGAACACTCAAAGGCCTGAAAGCTGTACCATAAGGCACTACGATCAGTATAGAGATAGCAAGCCCTCCTATGGGTGGCACCGAAGTCGAACCAGACAATGTGACGTGGTTATTGCCAGAATACGTTTAGGTTACAGAATGTATTGGCAACTGCACGGTGCAAGAAGTGCAGATGAATCTAAATGTAGACTGTGTAACGAAGAAAACAAGCGAACGCTTGAGCATTATATATCGGAATGTCATGTGATACAGCCTTTCAGACCACCTAACATGAGGTATAGAGAACTATGTGAATATTTAATTTCATCTGATACACTGGAAGATATACTTGTATTATATCCAAAAATTATTATGTAAAGCTGCCGTAAACAAAAACACAGTGTTATGTAAGCACAGTGGCAAGAGCATATTAACGTATTATTTTTTGTATGATGTATGACATATTTCTATATTACCATGTACTATTACAGTAGTCACAGACTACTGTACTGTGACAGATATATATAAAGCTGTAATCATGATTGCCCACGCCTGAGCAGATAGCCAACTTACTTAACTTAACTTAACTTACGGGCCGACGCGCCGTTCGGCAAAAATCTACGGGATTTCAAATAATCCAAATGTAGCGTTACTTCCATCGACGCTATTCTACCAAATCAGGTTCTTGTATCTCCCTTCATAAGATTAAAGTGGGCTTTTCCCACAAGATCAACATTCCCTGATATATTGTTCATGCAAATGGTAGCGTAGTCAAAGTTTAACGGATTCAGAGTTTATGTTGTTGATATGGACAGTTACATCTTTCACTTTATTAAAACCTTCAATAAAATAGACACATACATCTTTACAAGGCACCTTGAATGTATAGGAGTTGCAATGCCTACGTGGTAATTTACCCTTAGTACATGTACTTATCTGATAAAAACGCGACACGTCCTCCAACACCAGACAAGCTCGTTCCGTCGCAGAGGCAGCGTAAAAATGAGTCAGTTAGCGAGTAAGAGATGGATTAAAGGTCATATGCCCCCCTTATATAGACTTTAGGCCTGAGTTGTCATAGGCTCTTTTACTAGTAATTCTGATTGGTTAACTACATAGGTGCAAGAGAACCGCAGCACTTGAAATGAAACATTTTTCACGGCGTTTCTCAGCGAATGGCGGTGGGACAGCCTGTCACATTTCCATTTCCCATGAAAACGCGCATGCGCACAAGGTTATTGTACAGAATAGCATAAAGAATAAACGAAATACGTAAGAGAAGTATAATAAAACTAGAAGAATGCATTACATACATGTAATTGGAGAAACAGATGCGAGTAATGACAAAATAAGCGTTCTCACAAGCATGTAGCAATACATGGACTACTTGCTGGATCGCAGTTATGAGTAACGCATCACATTTGTTTTGATCCTTGTAAGGCAAATATGAAAGGGGTCTTAGGAAATGAAGGGTCGAGCTTCTGTCTTCTCTGCCCTTTATCTCCCTTATTTTAGATTTCCGCACCTTTTGCCATAGATGAAAAGTGTCTACGTAATGAGTTTACCGATAATTAAATTATATTTTTTGTTTCTAAAAAGCTCTAGGCAGGGATGAAATACCGACATAGCGTTTTCGCGCTGTGGAGGGATTTTCATATCGAATCCGCTTACACCTAGGGAAGCATCCAGCTCTGTGAAGGGATCCCTGGACATAATATATCAATGTGACCAGCCCTTAAGGTGGTTTGTGTGGTGATATCTGTGGTGGTGGTAACCGTGGTGAGGACGGTGGTGAACCAGGTGAATGATAGTGATGACGGCTGTGGTTTTGGGGATAACGAATGGTTTGGCACAGAAATCATAACAAAAATACATGGGGGTCAAGAAATACATGATAAATTAAATTTTGGGAAGCACTGGTCTTAGAGCAAATACCTCTCACTGCAGGCTGTCAGACTGGATCCTTCCGTTTTCTCGAAAAGTCCGGTCATATATTTCCTGCATAGTTTGCTGATGTTGCTGAAGTTGCTGAGACATCTGTGTCATGTGAGTATCCAACAGTTGTTGCATAAGACTTAGTTGCTGCTGTGTACTGTTGCAACATTTAACAAGTTCATCAACCCTACTTTTTAATGCGTTAATCTCTTCTGCATGTTTTTGGCCGCTCGTGAGGCATGAGCTAGAAACACTGTGATCGTCAGAGGAATAAGTTTCTTCTTTAGGAATGTCCAGGTTACCAAGTTTTATGGCCTCTCGAATATTCTCACGAGTAACAACAGTCTCCTTTTTATTGGGGAAGACTTTAACCTCTGGCTTGATGCTGCACCTGCCATTTACTAGCCGGAGAAGAAGGTGGGGAAAGGACATTTGGCTCATTAGCGCCATAAGCAGCTTCTCGAAAGCCACGATGTATGAGGCTTGTTTAGCCAACCTGTGGATTCTTCCTTGCTTCTGTAGGCCTGGAATGTCGTTAACAGCTAAACCAATGAAGAGGTTGGCTAACAAGATAGCCACAATGAATAAGTAGAAGGACAGTAAAATCAGTCCACTAAGAGGCACATCCATTGCCGTAACAAACTCACTGTATGCTATCTCTCCACTCATCATCATCAACGTTTTAACGAATGAGAGAGGAAATGTCTTAAAAACCGGTAGTTGTTGAAACAAGATGTGGAAACTAAAAGTAAATCCAAAAAGAAGGAATACAAAAGAAAGCAGGAACTTCATCATAGACTTTGCCACACCAGAGAACATCAGAATGTAAGTACCTAGCATCGGGTAGCGTCCAAGAAGTAACATAAACTCAACCCACACTAAGAAAACCGACAGTGCGGCCATTTGTCTCTCCGCTGTTATTGGTAGGTGGTCAGACTGAGAAGTAGGGGCAGAGGTGTCATTTAAGGATGACATGTTTTTACTAATGGCAATCTCCTCCAAGGCTTTGTAGTCTACAATTGGTGAGAAAACTACAACTGCTGAACTGATAAAGGTCACAAATCTTATTAGAGTTTCCACTTGTTTGCTATATTTCCTAAAGTTGGCAATTACCATAACAACGTTTGGGAAGAGAAGAACAATGTAACATAAAATGTGTCCTGCTCGAAAAGTCCACAGCATAACAATGTCTTCGTGCCAGTCTGTCAGCGAATTCCCGAAGATGAGCATAACATAAGTGGTGTGAAGGATTAGGAAAATGAAGTACATCAAGACACCGGTGTAGAAGTACTTTCGAATGTAGCACCACTTGACATACAAGAAGCTTTCCAGGAGAGGATGTTTGATCAGATCTTCAGAATGGGAATGTACTAATTCTGATACTACGGAACACTGAATGGTCTCCTTTTCCTCCGAGAGAAGGGCCGAATAATCAAATGTAATGCTGAAGTCTGGGTCATGCAGAGACTCTTCTGACAAATGAACGTGAGAATCAAATAGTTTCTTCAAGACCTGTGAGGCTGAAGGGAGATGTTCGAGCATCAATTCGCAGTTCGACACGCCATCCTTGATATTGGCGAGATGTTCACCATTGATTAAGAGAAGGTAACAACAACGGACAGACGAACTTTTAACTGCATAATCAAATGCTCTACATCTTTCCTTGTCAACCACAGTGACCATATTCTTCAAGTCACCCCTCTGCAGAAGAATGTCAAGTGTGTCTGAGGAGCCAGAGAGACATGCAGCATGAAGGACAGATTGCCCCCAGGTCGTCAGGATGGTCGGATCCGACCCCAGAGAGAGCAGAAGTTCAACGACTCTGCTCAGGCCGTAGCGAGAGGCCAGGAACAAAGGTGTCTCCCCCACATAGTTGGTAGTATTGATATCTACGACGGATCTAGACAGAATCTTAATCAGCTCAATGACCAGGAGTTCGGAGTCCTCACCACACTTTTCAGACAGCGCGGCGAGGAGGACCGTCCGGCCGTTTTTGTCCTTAGTGTTACATTCCTTGACAACTGTCGGTTGATTCACCAGCTTCCTTACCAGCTCCAGATTGCGGGTCTGAGCGGCCAAGTGCAGCACAGAGCAGTTCTTCCCATCCAAAATGTTCAGGTCGGGTTCATGTTCCATCATCAGCGTTACTGATGCCATGTCCCGCCGGCGTATCGCAGCATGAAGGGGCGTCTCAACAACCACTTCCTTGATCGTGGCGGGAGGGGCGTTCTTGGTATTCGGAGACGCCCCTCGCTTTAGGAGCTCCGACACGCCGTCAAGCCAAGCGTCGTTCACAGCCAAGTGCAAAGGGGTGTTTCCGAGGGTGTCCAAGGATCCTATCTGTTACAAAAAAGAGATAAATCAATTGTAAATGAAAACCGGTAGCTCATATCCTATTAGGTGTCCAAGGATCCTATCTGTTACAAAAAAGAGATAAATCAATTGTAAATGAAAACCGGTAGCTCATATCCCTATTTTATTTTAAGCTCCTTCCCTCTAGATCTATAAGCTACGTTTCAGCGC